CCACCCTTTTTAATCGCCAAGTTAATTGTTTTACACAACGTTTGTAAGGAGCCTTAAGCCAGTTTTAAGGAACTATGTCCCACATGACATCTTAAGTAATAAATAATTATGTAATCTATCAACCGTAAACAAACCTGTGACACACGTCTGCAATTACACACAGCAAAAAGAATTGATTGGCTCCCAATAAGAGTGTCAACGCAATTAAATAGCACCTTGAGCCTAGCAAAAGAAGTAACGCGGTCCCGCTGGGCAGAGCCTCTAAGTCACCCATAAATATCACGAGGGTTTCCGGAGTATTCCATAAAATACTCCGGCTAATTGCTTTTTAAGCAAAAAAGTCCCTTTTTAGGAAAGGAGAGATTTGACGCTCCCCTGTTGCGAATATTCTGGGTAACAGATCTGCCTGATCGTGACCAACAAACAGTATAAGTTTCATTAAATTATTTGAAAAAAAAAGAGTTCTCGAAATGGGAATGAATTTTTAAAGCAAAAATATTCTGTGTAAATGATATCTCGAACTACGTTTCATTATAGAAATTCTTATAAAACTATGAAATTGATTTTTCTTATTAGATACTAATGTTAATAAATACAGTCTAATATGCAATTAGAACCAGGTTTCACCAAGTGAATTGCGCATCTTCATTTCGCAATCCCAAAGGTCACAGGAAAGTTTACATTAATTTACATATTTACATACAAAAACGGTCTGAATGCTACCAGTATTCACACTCATGAGTTCATAGCTATAAAATATAAGAATAATGGACAATTAATAGGTACAGTGCACTAACTAAGAGAGAAAATGTGAAACTAAATATAACATAAGACCTTTTCAACATCAAACAAATTGATTACTTGACTGCGCTAATTCGCCTATATTTTTCTAGGACTGCAAAAATATATGGACAAAAAAGTTTTGATAGTTTCACTACATGTCTACATACTGCATATGAAAATAGGCGTGAGAAACGTCAAGATTCCGTATGAAAATTATTAGGAGTACATACATCGTTAGATCGACAAACTAATACGATGCGCTCAGAAAGTATGACCGCTTACACATAACGCGATTCTTGTCAATAATCATAGTTGTCTATGAGCTGGTTTCGTTTCATTCGCAATGTTTACCTGCCTTGTCTCAATTCGTATGCGAATTGCTAGATGATTGTGGAGCCACCCACGGTATTGGTATAAGTGAAAATTTAGTATCTCATTATCGCTTAAGATTAAGTTATGGGAGTACGTACTGTAACCAACTGATCGTGAATTATCTAGTCCCACGATTTTTCTTATTGTTAGTTTAAAAGGTGTATATCTATATATACTAAATTTTTTGTGGCTAAAGTGAGTTGTTAGTACTACGTACGTTTTTTTTAAATCTTAGTGTGTAGATTAAATAAATAGATTTTCACTTTAAATTGTAGGTTTTTTGAACAAGGTGTTCAAACCTAACCTAACCTGACCTTCCTCTTTTGAAGACATAACACATTTGACAGAAAGAGTACTTATTTCTAAGATTCAAATATATAGCATTTATAATTTTCTTAACCTAAATACTAATAATAATAATTAAAAAATATAAAATTCAAACAAATTAAATAGTTTAGACCCTGTGCCAGTACCTTTCAAGCTCGCTCTATTGCGATTGATAAGTAGTACTGGTAAACTTTTGAAGGTGGTAAAGGGATTTTAATATTTAATTGTTCTTCTCTCCTGCATAGCATGCTATAAGTTGGGGCTGAAAGAAATCTAAATCTGATGTTTTAAATCCTTCAGCTTACAACTTAAGTCCTATCCCACACATACATTTTATGCGCGCACGCACCTATTTCTAGCACAGTTTCTACTTAGTGTCAACTTCTTGCCAACCAATATTGTCTTAGCGATTTGCATAATATTTGCTTTAAAGCTAAACGATATTTTTCTTAATCGGTCGTGCTTCATTGAATATAAATAGTCGTTTTAAAATATGTAGTTGATATTATGCTTATTGAGACTTCGAAATCGTTTTAGTATCGCAATTAGTTTAAATATAGTTAGATTTATTTAAACATTACATGCTTATAATATTTTCTGTATTTATTAAAAACATCGATTTATTTAGAGTCAGCTATAATATAATTTCTATTGGTACTTTAAAGATTTTTATAAGGTAAGGGGAGCCCTAAGGGATTTTGGGGATTTAGTCGAGCGCGGCAGAATTACACTAGGGCAAACCTTGTGAAGTATTCCCACCATACCTGAGCCACAGGGCTGAAACACAGGAGTACATACGTTAAATGTTAGGCAGCCGATCAGATGTAAAATCTTAAAGGTACAATATACTTCACGAAAATTTCTTTCTTTTCAGCATCTAATCTTCAAAACCTTAGTACCTATTTACTTGTCCTACTACGAGAGTAATTTTAATTCCACTTTGTTAATCACTGATTTAAGGAAGAACTTGTCTTACTGAATTAAAATCTTCATATGCCACATTGGTCTAGTGGATAAGATGGTAGACTGCAGATGATTAGGTCTGTACCTGGATTCAATTCCGGGTGAGACTGACAAAATATATTTTTTTTAACTTCAACAGAATGTGATGTGTGCTATTGTTTGTGATTTAAATAATATGTATTATTATGTTAAAGTACCTATGGACATTTTAACGAACTGTTTTATAATTTAATTCGTAATAAATGTTTCTGAGTACAATTTACTGTATTCTTTCAGATCACTACATATAAACATCGATATTTATCGTTGTGTCTAAATTATAATTCGATTAATCATCGCCCGTTTAGCGAATCGTTAAGTATTCGATTGTTCGTTAACGCAGTCCAAATGTGTTTTTTGTCGAAACGAAAGTGAGATTTAAATCATTAAACTAACATTTGCTTAAGCTTCTGTACGAGTCGATAGCGAAAGTGCTGACTCATTGTTTTTCTAAGGTCAATAAGTTTGTCGAACCTGATCAGTGATTAAAAAATAGAATTTAATAAAATATATGGTTACTTACTTTTAGTAAGTGTTTAACAAATTAAAACAAGGCTTAAATCGTCTTTTAATTTCAAATCAAACTTATAATTCATATTTTAATATCAATCGCAGTTGTTGGGTGCATAACTAAAATGTTAGATTTTATTATATGAAGCCTTTAATTTGTAATAAAATATATTAATGTCATTTACATATCATTAATAAAAGAACAATAAAAACAATAACTAACCTTAAAATATAATAACTAAAATATATTATTAAAAGGAGTCCCTTTAGGCAAGATTCCGATTTCCGAAGATACTGGCAGCGTTCCCCCTTTGAATAGCTAATAATTGTTAGATTTTATTTATTTATTGCATACGATTTTTGATTTATTGACTGTAATTTATATCTTTTTTTCTAGCTTTTAGCAAGCTGTGTATAAGTTATTTTTGGAAATTTAATTAAAAAAAAACATTTTACACTTCGTTCCATTAATAGTATTGAACCAGAAGCTTAACCAATAGGCTAACGATAATGCAATCTCTTCCAGACAACCATCGTATGGAAAGATAAAATATGATAAAGTGTAAAAACATAAAATTCGCATGAATCACTATTAGAAATATCTCATGATACCTAATGTTCATAAAATATAGATTTTTAATTGGATGTCAACTAAAAAAAAGCGACTTTTTTTCTTTATTACACATAAACATAAACGCCCTATCATTCAAAGAATTAAAAATCGACTTTATGCTGTCTCAAAGATTTATTTTACGAGCTGTGCACGGCGGACTAATTTTGTTTATTCAAACGTTTTGTCAAATAGCTCTAGTTTTGATTAGAACTGCTGACGTCATGTTTATAAATTTGGTTTTTAAACTTCCACGGCGCTTTTACACCGTTACGTAACCAAATGACATTTATTATTGGTTCGAACGTGAATGGCACTTATGGTGTGATGACTGTTATTATTACTGATGTTAATACAATTATTATAATTGTATCCTTTCGTCTTAACTCCACAGCCCAAATCGACTTTGTCGTTTCTGTGTTTACTCAATAGCTGAACCGATATGATTTCTGATTCTAGGGAAGTCAAACTTTAGATTATTTAAAAAAGTCTTCACTTAATTAATTAAGAAGTATGTTTACATACTTGAAGGGCTAAAACTTATTTTTTTAATTAAAAGCTAATGCATGTTGCATTTCTGGTTCCAAAGATTAAGATAAATATAAAAAAAGTTTCGATACATTTATCTATACTAATATTATGAACCTGCGTACCTAGACTCGTTATCGTGCTTTACTTCACGTTCCTCACATCAACACCAACTATGCAAAAAATTCAGTTTTGTATCACGCAGCCCGGACATACAACGACCACTATATAAGCCTCGACTTGTAAAAGCTATCGCGGAATATGCTTAAAAGGAGTATTAAGAATATCCATAGCGCTAAATAACGTACTTCATGAGCAGAAACCACACAACACAGCTGAATTAGGTATTACTTAGTTAAATGTATGTAATAAATATTATCGACTTTTCCTTTCGTAAATGTTCGAACCTTTTTGTATATATTAATATGTATATGTTTGGCAATATCTTTACTATAATTGTTTTTTGTTATATATTATATATGTTAGCTGTAGGATAACGAAAACAAATATAACTAGAATACTTAAAGGTAAGTGAATAAACTACGGTGTAAATGTATTAAAGTCATCTCCCATACAGTACGTAACGAGGTTGCTAGCAGCAGTCTCTAATCCATTGCATATAAATATTAGTATTTCGGGTCACAACTTGGTGGTCTCATTCTTGTCTATAAATTTTATTATCTTGTTTGAAAATGCTGTTGATAGTTTTTAGTAACTTAGCAAATGACTTCAAATATGTTAAACGCTGTATTAAAGTTATTTAGTTTGACAGTTATTATATCGTTCTATTTTTTCTGCCCTTTTTGATTGTATAGCAATATTGTGTGTTTTTTTTTTAATTATAAGATTTTAATTAAGGCCGTTAACCATGAAAATGAAGCAGAAATTACTGGTGACGGAACGCAAGATGTTACTTAAAATCCTGGTGCCATCGAGGATGGAGAAAGTTTCATGGGGAGTCGGAATAAATGCCGAAGTAGAAGAGTTAGCAGCCCAGCCTAACATTATAGGCAAATTCAATGCCCATCGAGTATGTTCCCTGCGGCACCATGAGCGCATGGGCCAAGATTGGGTTGTGAATTACGCTTATCTAAGCTGTTCTAGTCATCGGCCTAGGTACCTCTGGATTGACAGAGTGAATTCCCGCTGCAGTTGAAAGCCAAATTGGTGGCACAGGACACAGAGATATTTTTTATTTCTCTAAAAGACCTAAGGTACAAACATAACGATTACAGTACAGTTAATTGGAATGTTATTCAAAAGAGCTTTGTAAAAAAATATTTCAATCAAGTTTTTACTTGTATTGCAAATAGTGTTTATCTGTTAACCAATGAATTGTATTATTACGATTTATAAATGTCTGGTAACTACGGAAACAAAGTGAATGCGCAGAAAACGCAATAAAAAATGCATCAAAGCGCAACAACTTTCCCATGATTTTATAATTAGACATTCTAACCTCAGATGTAATATCCTAAATGTATTAAGGAACCGCAAAAGTTGATAAGAACTAGCGGAGCTAAGAAGGCTTGTCCCAAATTTAATCAGAACCAAAGCGTGTCCAATTGTATCATTTATCAAATCTATATACCACACACGATAGTATCGCAATTTGTTACGGTCTTATATACAATGGCATAAGGGAGAAATTCCCTTGCCATTTCTTTATTGAAAAATTTCGCCGACTCATCGTTGCGACATAATGCGTCTTATGCAAATGCAATAAGGTGGATTTTCTTGTGCAATTGAGTTCATCTGTTTATACTGGTGTCACTTAAGGACAGATGCTACGTAAATACGTATTAATGATTCTTTCAAGTGAGAAGTTGTGGTTGTTAGGAAAAATTGCTTGAGTTCATCAATCATGCTTTGGTTGTATTGTGGGCTCACGGGAACTATGGAATTCTAACATCGTAAAATTTAAACGGAAATATGCTTAATTTTAAATGCAATTAGTATAACATTATCAATAAATACAATTAAGAACCAGAAACAAATGAAAGGCGTTTCATTATTCGTTTCAAATTTAGTTGTCTTTTCTTTTTGAATAATTGATTTTTACCTTTAAATTACCAGAACACAGTGTTCATTACCTACAGGTTCTCAAATGAACAACAAAAAGAAAAATTCATAGAACTGTGTTAAAAGTTAGTCAATCACATACGACGAAACTAAGTAACCCAAAAACTATGCAACGAAGAAACTAAGTAACGAAAAATGTATGCTTAAGTAATGTAACCGTGCAGTGATAGCCTAGTGGCTTCAACGTGCGACTCTCGTCCCTGAGGTCGTAGGTTTGAACCCCGACTGTGCACCAATGGACTTTCTGTCTACGTGTGCATTTAATATTCGCTCGAACGGTGAAGCAAAACATCGTGAGGAAATCGGCTTGCCTTAGACCTAAAAAGTCGACGGCGTGTGTCAGGCACAGGAGGCTGATCACCTACTTGCCTATTAGATTGATAAACGATCATGAGATGATACCTCCAGACCTAAAAAGGTTGTAGCGCCACTTTTTTTAAAAGTAATGTGCCTTAGATTATTCAATCTTAATTAAAAGTTTATCATACGTAAATTAGAGAAAACAGCCACAAACCTCATTAAGTAGCATCTTAAAGTGATTCAGATCAATTAAAATTATGTTCTAATAATCATTAGTGAGCCAAAGAATTTATTTTATTGTTTTTAGTAGCTCATTGCGTGATCATATCGACATTTTAGGCAAATGAACTTACGAAATATGCTAATTTCGATGGGAGTGTTCTAGTTTTGTGCCCTTTACGACAAATTATTAAGAACCATATACCACTCATAAAATTATTGAATTTATGGTCATGGGTTAAGATATTGTTATTATATAACAAGAACCAGTAGCTCTACAACCTTTTTAGGCCTGGGCATCAGATTTATGTATCTCTTACATGATCATTTGTCAATCTAATAGGCAAGTAGGTTATTAGCCTCCTGTGCCTGACACACGCCATCGACTTTTTGGTTCTAAGGCAAGTCGGTTTCCTCGCGATGTTTTCGTTCACCTTTCGAGCGAATGTTAAATGCACACATTGACAGAAAGTCCATTGGTGCATCGGGGATCAAACCTACGGCCTCAGGGATGAGAGTCGCACGTTGAAGCCACTAAGCCAATACTGCTCTATTGCTCTTTTATTAAGGTAACAGTTAAAACATTATTGAAATAAACATTCGTCTAGTGTTTGACAATTACAAAGTCGGATGAGCTCGTAAAGATGTCTTGCGCCTGCTCAAGCTCATTAATATAAAAGTGTGATATTTAAAAGCTATTAAACCACTTAAATGTATTTCCTTTTTTTTTCCTATTCGGCGTAAGTGAAACAAAAACAAAACGAAGGCGTCCAATATGAATATGTATGTGCGTAGGATTCGGTACTTTTTAATGAATATAACCTACGTGATCTACAGCCTTTTTAACATAATTCTAGAATTTTAATAGTTTCGAAAGTTTCAATTCTTGAAATAGTTCAATATTCTGCGTTTTATTCATTTAAAAGTTTGTTTTGTCGCTATTTACTAATAATCTATATCAGTTCTTTATTTGTAAAATATGAAGTAGGCTTCGCTAAACTTGATGACGATCTAAGAAGTGGAGAAGTTATTGGACGTGCTATCAAGAGTGAACGGAAGGGGATTGAAATGTCAAAGCATCTGGGAATGCCAATGGGCCGTCGGACGATCGGCAGTCCAAGATATTGCTGGAAAGACGACGTGGAGAGAATTACCTAGCGGTTTTCAAGATTGACCTAGTACAATGGAATCCCAGCTGTTCATAGATGAATGTATCTTCCTATTAGCACAAATTTGTTCATACAAAATATGAATATGCATAATTTTAAATGAATTTGATGAAATGATATGTCAATATACATTTTATTTTAATAATGAATTTTATCGGTGCAAATGAATTAGGTGCCTAAATGATTTACGTCGGGTGCTGTCGTAAAATTAATTGGTAAGAAAAACAAAGTTGTATCGCTTGTAAACCCATAAAACTGAGTACTCGAATCCGAAAATAAATTAAATTTTTGCCTCAGATATGTCTTGGCGTCTCTTCGCAATTCGTGAAATACTTTGATTCATTTTTAACGTAAATTCTATGGGGAATGCACAGCCTTAATATTATTCTTAGTAAGAAGGTAATCCGTTTTGTCATCTGCGTAAATATTACTGATTTATTTCGTGTTTATGATCAAATAAATATACACTGATTATTATTATCAGTAATGACCCAAGCGGCAGTGCCTGCTGATAGATAAATCTGTGATTTTTGGTCTCTAAATCCACACTTTATTCATATTTATGTACACAAACTTTCAAGGCGCTTTGTATGTACAATGACCTAATCATTGTACACAATTGTAGTACAATAGAAATAAACAAACATAATAGCAAATTCAATAAACGCACAAAGAGTGTCGTTAAACAGATGCTTCGGTAAAAAGCGTTAAGTGTAACAAAATAGAACCAAAAAAATGCATGAATATTTGATCCCAAACCAGAATCATTAGTCAACTTTTTTAGATCAGATTAAATATTAAATTGAACTCTATTCCATTGTGATAAGGAATGTTGGATTATTGGTATTGTCACAAACAAACAATTCGCTTCCTCAGAATCTAGTGATAGCGAAGATCATTAATCAAGGAACACATGCGGATCTTCTATTGAAAGAAACAGTTTGATTGTAAACTTCATTGAAATTTAGTTTTAAAGTGCTTACGGGTTTAGTAATAAAGACGATAATCGTATGGCATTTGAAGATCATTTATTAAAGTCCGTGATCCCATATTTACCCTTGGATTTTCACCTTCTTATGTGGGAATATTCAATTTGTTTGCGTCAACTGTTTTTGTGAAACGTAACGCGAACTTAAGTAATGATGTATGCATTGTATTTTATAAGTCCTTATAATAAATGATTTTTGAGCACGTACAAATATAAAAATTTAGATCGAACAAATATTAAATCAATTTTTTTCAAAACTGTAACTCCATAACATTAAGTATATTGTATCAATAGTAAACACACAATATTTGATTAAAAATTAGCTCATAGGTTTTTTACGTTTTACAAAAAAATACTAAAATAGAATCACTTTAATCAAAAATTGGCCCTAACTATCTTGAAGTGAATAAATAAATTAATAATAATCCCTTTACAAGACTATGTTATAAATTTCAGTGATAATATTGAAACACTATTTGAATCCAACTGTATAATAAGGTCAATTGTATTGCTAACATTCGATGAGCAATTATAATCTTTAGTTTTTTAACTGCATACATTAAATTAATATCTAGTTCACTTCTGTTCCCATGTAAAAAGCAATTCAATTAAATTTTTCATACCACATCGCTACTTCCATGTATCGTTTAAAGTCAATCACCTATAACTAATTTGATTCGGCTACGATCATTTAGTATGAGTTAGTAAATAACTTTATTATTAAGGGTCCATTTTAAAGTTACTTCCTTTTATGGAAGCCACAAGTATTTAAACAATTGATAGTCATATTTCAGCATCAGTTTCGTTGTTTATGGCTCGTATAGATTCGTAGATATATACGTAGAATGCAAGTCGGCAATGTTAGCGTTGTGGTTTTAGCGTGCAACTCTCATCCTTGAGGTCGTAGGTTTGGATATAGTACAAATGGACTTTCTTAGTGAAGTGCCGTGAAGGAAAACATACTTAAGAAACTGGTATTAGACCCAGAAATACAACCGCGTGTTTCAGGCACAGAATGCCGATCACCTATTATCGTGATAATTTGTCTATTAGAACAAGCAAATTATCACGAAATTCATACAGAAATCGCCACGGGTTTTTTTAGATAGTTTCGCCGGGAATTGAAAGATCTTTATTATTAACAACTATGGTCAGGAGGAAGTTTATAAGTCATACGATTTTTAGTAAAAAATATTTGTTTAATTTTATTCACTTGAAGAAAGGCAAATGTCTGCTACAACAAGGGTATTTTCGAAGCACTTTCGCTGGCTACAAAATAATTATAATTTGCAGTTACTTCAATCACAGGCTATGATTGCCGTGTTTATAAATTAATCTATTAATCAAAATTAATAGCTAATGTTAATTGATTATTTAATTTGCCGTTAGAAAGTATAAAAGGCGTACGTTCTCCCCACAAAATTTTTGATATGAATGTAGGAATAAGGAATAGTACGAACGTAGTGTTTACACCTCAAGGTCAGTTAAAGGTTAACTAAGATTTCTATAGAAAACGCAAGCAAAAAAAGGGTTTCTGTGCCCGTTGTTAAATCATGTTAAGTATAATGGAGACCAACCCCAACTCCAGACAGTCCAAAATGGCACTGCCAGCAGTTAACCGCTAGTGATAAAGCGACATCTAAGCCTCAACAGAACTTATCTGAAGGTTATGATAGGAACAATTACGGGCCACTGTTTTGCAGAGGAATCAGTCACCCATGTAGTCCAGGCTGTGGCTTCCCAACGAACAGAAATCCTTGGAGCACTGAGGCCGGTGAGAATCCGTGAAGCTGACTTACTTAGCCAGTAAAGTCCTGGCTTACTAAGTCTAACTGCAGAAATTGAGTCCATACTAATAACACTACTCCGTGGGTTACTAAATCTTTAGAAATATAATTGTTAATCTACGATTAGAAGTAATTTATTCGTTTGTGTACAAATTGCCTATTAACTATCAAAATATATAAAAACTTCAGAACTCAATAGAACGAATCTATGGAACGAAAAAATGCGATGCAATTCTGTCTGTTAAACGGACGATATAATATGTCTTCATATGATTTTACTTTTACTACACTTTCCCACGTCTCAAAATATTATTATGGAGAATTAGTCCGCTCAGATTTACGTGCGAATGGTGCTTTCCGTATAGGACTGTTGAATATATTTATCAATTGCAATTTTAGTTTAAATTTTTTATAAAAATCGGCGAGACGCCAAGCGATGTGAAAAATATAATTTAACAGACATTTAGTTTCGGTTAGCAAAGTATTTTCACAATATTATTTTAAAGGCAACGCACTTGCAATCCTTCTGGCAATGTGAGTGTCCACGAACGGCGATATCACTTAACATCAAATGAGCTATCTGCCCGTTGGCAGTTGGGGGTTTGTTATATGAAAAAAATGCATAAAATCTGTAACGTGAAAAAATTGTCATTGCTTATTTCTATTAATAATTTTACGAGCCAAGGCTGTACATTTTGCTCACTCAGGCTTTCTTAGTTTTATAAGCGTGGTGATTTCCTAAATCGTCGGAGTTACACCTCGACAGTACAGCCAGACGAAGGCACGCTCTTCAACTGTTACTTTGCATTCGTTTCATTGCAATTAACATTTCATTATATTCTATTGTTGTATGCGAGCGGTTAATATAGAGTAAAACTAAATTATTTCTCTATATAACTAACTCTATTATTTAAATGACCCGGGAACCGTTCAATAATAAACCTTTATTGGTGAATATTTATAATATTTAAAAGCTGAACGAACAATTGCATAATAGCGGTCGATAGATTTAGTTATAAATAACATGCGCACTAAACATAATTAAGAAAACAAAATAAGTAATAATAACAAAATACAGCGTCTCAATAAACAATGTTATATCCTTCAAAGAAAGGTATTCAATGCGATAAAAATCCTCTAGTTCGAAGTGGAACTCACCATCGGAATTGATCTGTAATGGTTTTATAATAGAACCGTGATGATCGTCTAATGAGTTCCCGCGTTTTGGACAGCGCCATGTTAATGGCAGTGTTTTGTAGATTGGCCGTGTGCATTATTCAAACGTTATACAGCTTGAAAATAACTTTGAGCTCTTTTACAATCAATTTCATAAAAAAACCAGTGGTATAACCTTGTAATGTCTGGGCCTCAGATTTCAGTATCTGTTTCATGTATCATTTGTTAATCTAATAGGCAAGTAGGTGATCAGCCTACTGTGCTTGACACACGTCCTCGAGCGAATGTCAAATGTCCACATAGATAGAAAGTCCATTGGTGCACAGCTAGGGATTGAACCTACGATCTCTAGGTTTATATGTACACTTCTTAGCGATTTTGGTTGTGGATTATAGTCCTGTCAATTCTGCGCGTGCGCTTGTGATACTGTGGCGGAGATGATCGGATAATTACATGATTGTAAATTATTAATTTAATTTTGGTGTTTTGAAACTGGAATCTAAAGAAGCTGTGTGCATTGCTATTTATTATATACCACATTTATAATAAATATTTCTAATAACTTCTCATACTTCAGATTCGTCTACAAAATATAGACTTTTTAAAATCCTTTTTTTACCCAATGTCTAAACGTTAATTAAAGCATTTAACATTTACAATCATTACACGACATATGTTTGTGTTCTAATCTACCTAAAATCGAGATAAACTCCATTGTGCGAATAAGTTATCATAATCGTTTCATAAAATCTAATATTGAGATTAACAATACGTTCATAGGATACAATGGTATTGTGCCATGAGTTTACCAACAAACGACACTGCAAGCGTGATTAATTTTATAAGTGCATTGTAGGGTATGAAGAACCCTACATTTTTTGCAACTGTGAATTATTGGACCGAAGTTCATTATCAAGTTATGAATATTTTAAATATGGAGTATTATTGCATCTGATCTTTATTTAGAATTTAAATGTGTAATTTATGAATTTCGGCTACCACGGAATACGTATTAAAAAACCTATGTAATTTGCCTTA